TGTTTTTCAATTTATATTGTTTTGTGATGATTTCTCTTGAGATTCAACACTACAGTGAATTATGCAGATATAAATGAAGGATAAAAGTCTAAAATGAATACTGTGACCGCAGTATGGAGTTATTTACATATTCATAGATATGAAGAATTATAGTACGTATGAGACATGACCTTTTACAGATTTCCCGGCCCGCATGTACTACCTTTGTCCATCCATGTTTCGACAGTTCTTCATCGGTGGTTTGTTCCAGAACTGCGTCCTGTTATCACTTTAAATAATAATAGTTGAAGGAAAACTGATAAATTATACGCAGTAAATAAATTTTCTTAATCAACTTTGATTTTTTTATTATTTCTTTCGAGACGACTGTATTTTACTACAAGAAGTATACTAATGATGATTATAGATTATATATATAAAAAATGTATGCTGTGATATAGTTTCGATTTGTCATAATACATTTTCATGTTTCATTCGAGCAATTTGGCCTTCCATGACTTCTCTGGTCCGCCTGTTCTTGCTTTGTCTCTAGCTTATCCATAATAGCATAACTCACGAAGGTTTCAGAATTCCTCCACTGAAAAGGTCATTACATTTACTTTCTATAACTTCTAGTAACGAAAGTGAACTGAAAGTTCATTAATTATTATTGGAGAAGTCTATTTAGCTGTCACGATACTAAATTTTTAACTAATTAAGGTTTTCAGTTGAGCTAAAAAGTCAGTGTCACGAACGGGATTCGAACCCACGATCTTCGGCTAGATACGCCGCTGCTCTACCACTTGAGCTATCGTGACCTCGATCAACTCGGACACTAACTTCCCATCTCAACCCTTAATTAATTGAAATATATTAATTGGTCAAGCGGACCACTAAAACTAGTGAATCAATTTTTAACTCAGTTTTACTTTTAACTTTTATAAATTTATAGTAATTTAGACGATTATCTTTTAAGACAGTGAACTAAGAAAATTAAATTATTGTAACAGTATCGAGGGAGTTTGATTAAATATTCATAGGTCGAATCTCTGAATTGAAAATCGCAACCAATTGTTTAAACTAGAGTGACTGGCGTCACAATAAAACAATTTTTTTAAAGTAAAAAAAAACTTTGAATTAAAAATTTGCATATTCTTTACCAAGATCAAACAATATCCTGAAATGTGGTAATTTTTATGCGTAAAATTGAAAAATTCCTGTTTGATGGATTGTAAAATTGTCAATTTTCGGAAATTCAATAACTAATCGAAGGAACTTTGGAACTGTTATCATTTATTTGGAGTCTCAGCAAGTCATACTAGGTGTGTTGATTTTAAATTTAAATTGTTTGCCTTTAGAGCAGTTTACAAATATAAACTGCTTCGACGACAAAAGAAACGATAACGGTACGAAATGCCTGCAAGATCAGCCCGTTTACCGCTTGAATGTAGAATTGCATTTCACAGTTGACCTCCCAATTCGTTCACTGGGTTTGAACATTCGACCAAACCGGCATGGGCTAGGGTGATGACACGCGAATCAATCGTCGAAGTCTAGGTCATTGACTCGGCAAATACATAATACATTTTGTCATACAGTGTCGCCTCGTGTGGAGTGTAAATTTAAAAACTTACATCCATAGAGAGATAGAAATTTAGTATCTGTTTGTAATCGGATTGGACTGGATTTATGCAACGTGATGTATGAACTGGTTTAAGCTGTCAGCTGTCGAGCCGACAATTAACGCTGATTACAGGTGATTCCAAACGCCTCAGTCTTCAATGGTGTTTTTATTTAAATTGATAAAAATTACCAATAAATGCAAAATTTTTCTTCTCGCCAATTCACCTCTAATTGGTTTTTCTCAACAAAATCGCATTTTAAACCTACCTCCCCCCGGAGCGAAACTGGATAGGAGAAATTTTGGAAAAATCAAATGCGTGCATATTCCAGTGTGCCTTTTGGCCTGACAGAATCAATAAAAAATTTATTAAGATGGGAAGCAGACCATTCACATTTAAACAAAATGTGACTTAGACATCCCGAAAAATTACGTAAACATTTGATTATTTCTACTTGTCCATCTGTAAATTCAAGTAAGGCATATGATGAAAGAGAGCCAGTGCATTTACCTACGTCCTAATGAATATTTGCCTAGTTACGACCAAAATATTATTTTTTTTTTTTACATAGCTTTATTAAAATTTGTTTCAATGGTAACATACTGTATTACTTATTTGGAGACCGTGAGGTGCGGTCTGGTGTGACTAAGGTTTTCGAAAACATTTTCTTTATAGTGCCAACGTTTCGATCTTTATTGAAATCATCTTCAGGGCTCAACGTGTTTGTTTATGTCATTCTTGTTTTGTCGTGTTGGGAGTGCCCCCCCCCAAAAAAAAAAATTGATTTAATGCAGCTTCTCTTGTAAAATATACATGTATACATTACTTGTATTATGTGAAAATGTGTGGTGAATAGTGACCGTTAATCGCTATTTATTTAGAAATCGTGAGATGCGGTCTGGTGTGATGTAGGTTTCAGAAAAACATTTTCTTTATCATGCCAACGTTTCGATTTTTATTGAGATCACCTTCAGGGCTCAAAGTGTTTGTTTTCTGTGTAATTGTGCCATTCTGCGTGTCGTGTCGAGAGTGCCATATGTAGGTATGATTGAAGAACTTCATAAAGTGGTGGTCCTCTAATCGACAAGTCGCCTAATATTTGTTAAAAACTAACTAAGTTTCGGTGCATAATGTAATAAGTACCAAAAAGTCAAGATAAAATAAAATAAATGTACTAAATTAAACAACATTGAATTTGATGAAATGTGAGCGCAAGAAGAAAAAGTCAGTAGAAAAATTGAATTTGTACCAAAGGACTTTGTTTGTTGACTTATCCAGTTTTCCTCGATAGTGCAGAAATCATGGCTGATCGGCCAGCTCCGTCTCAATCATGCATTGAATAAATTTATTTCATTGTATCTTTGTAATTTTCAGTCAACAATAGTTAAACCATATTGGACGATTTTATAACTGTCAAACATGCAATTTAAAATTATTTATATCGGTTTTTAATTTTTATATAAATTTTGGTTATCTAGGACCAATTAAAAAAACCATGAATTAATATTTTATTTATATCATTTTAAAATGATACTTTTTAATTGTATAGCAGGTGGATTTATGCGACATGTATTGCTTTGGCATAAATCATATAAAGAACATACAACTTGTGATAAACACATTAAAGAATAGTTACTCCTTATCATAGAAAATATGATACACCTTGTTTATTCACGTTATAAATTTTTTAAGTGATTTAAGAGTTATGATCATATAATGAATGGATATTTAATTTTAAGATGGTTAAATATTCAAACGGTAGCGCTTGTTATGTGCTTGTGTAACTTGTCATAATCATGAGTGATTTCTTCGTTTTCCTATGAAGAAAAATGCTATTTCTGCTTAATATGTATTTTATTAGATAATCCATGCAAAATTAGTATAAAGTGAAAATTGTTCTTAATATCTTGATAAGTATATTACTCTATTAAGACTTTTTAAACTTGTTTCCTTAAGTTAGAAAGTTTATGCTTTGAATGGAACCATTATTTTCCATGGATAAAATTCAATTCTTCCCGTGATTGCTACACAAACTTTTTTCTCCTGGTAGAGCAGCGGCGTATTTAGCCGAAGGTCGTGGGTTCGAATCCCGCTCGTGACACTTTTTTATCTCAACCAATACTTTACTTAAAGATTAATTAATTGAAAATAATTTATTTGGTCAATCGGACCACGAAACCTAATCGATTTTATATCACCTTTTTATTTATATTATCATATTATTTTCTTGTGAAAAAATTTTATCCAAGCGATACTTTTTGTTAGGCTTAACAATTCTACGAGTATTACTAATTGTTTGTCTTTTTTTTAAATTAAATAGGTTTGTCATTTGTATAAGTGATCCTCATTGATTCCTACACTAACTTTTTCCTCTCAACCACAACCTTAGATAAAATAATTGAAATAATTAATATGGTCAATTATGACGGCTAAACATACACGGATTAATAATTAACTTTGGGGAAACAAGTTTATGACAATGTTTTATTATCTTTTTATTTATATTATCGTATTATTTTCTTGTGAAAAAATTTATCCAAGCGTGTGTGTGCACTCTCAACACAGAAGAAAGACACATCTACACAGAAAACAAACACTTTGAGCCCTGAAGATGATCTCAATAAAGATCGAAACGTTGGCTTGATAAAGAAAATCTTTTTCTAAAACCTACATCACACCAGACAGCATCTCACGATCTCCAAATAATCTTTAATCCAAGCGATAGTTTTGAGTTAGGTATAAAAATTCTAGTATTACTAGTTCTTTGCCTTTTTTAAAAATTAACTACTGTATAAGTGATCCTCATTGATTGCTACACTAACTTTTTCCTATCAACCAAGACCTTAGATACAAAGAATAATTGATATGGTCAATTATTACCGCTAAACATATATTGATTAATAATTAACTTTGGCGAAACAATTTTATGACAACGTTTTATATTATCTTTTTATTTATATTATTGTTATTTTTTTTAGGTTAGGATTAAAAATTCTACAAGTATTACTGGTTGTTTGTCTTTTTTAAAATTAACTAGCTTTTGTCATCTGTAGTAGTGATCCTCATTGATTGCCTGGAGGATATCTGTGGTATCCTTAACTATGGGGCTCGTAGGTGGGGGTCGAAGCTGGTAATGGCCGTTTAATGCGAATCAACAGGAACGGAAAGGAAAAGGTTCCACTTATCGGCTGGAAGCTATAAAAATCAATTTGATGAGTTTTAACATTGGTTTTTAGGCAGATGGTTAAAGGGTTGGTCGAGTGGGAGGGCGAGTCGGTGTCAGCGTGCGCACGTCCCGGACCAGCTGATCGTCGTGCGTCGTGGGTGGTGGGGTAGGCGATGCTCGTGGCGGGGATGGGACGGGCCCATGCCCGAGGGGGGGGCCCGACAGCCGCGGCGTGGGCAAAGTCAGTCGACCACAACACGCTGTCCGTCGAGCATGTGACCAAAAAAAGAGGATTTATCATTGGCCTGTGACAGTGTTTACCTGTGTTTTTTATTTATTTTATTTTTTCGTTTTATTTTCCCTCTTCGATGTGCGCGATTTGACGGCGACCATCACCGTTCGTCCTCGACTCTTTTTACCGGCTGCATTTTTGAAAATGGGAGTGCATAAAACGACGGACCACGAAAGTGGCTATTTCGAAGATGAGGACGATTTTCCGAAGGAGCCCTCGTCAGACGGCAACAGGAACAATAATCACCTGGAAAGTGTTGGATATATGTGCAACGACCTGGAGAACGTTTTTTACCCAGACGAAGGACCTTTGAAAAAAGGTAAGGAATTTAAATTTTGGCACACGAAAAATTTCTTTTAAGGAAAACCCCCTTGATAACATATAGTGACGCAGCAAACCTTCCACTTGTTCAGACAATACACAGCGGAAAATTGATCCCATACAATTAGGAAGGCACTACATGACAGCAGATGTTCCACTATCATATACAAATTTTCATGCACTATACGACAAACACCCAATTACAGACAAAACCTTGCATCTATTTGTTTTTAAGTTAAATAGAAGAATCAAGCATTGAACAATTTGTAATACATTTTATTTGAGACACTGTTTGACATAGAAATATCATCGTTGTATAACATTCGATATTTTTCCTTGCCATTCAAATGTATGAAAATGACGTGAAAGCCCATGTAGCAAAAAATATATTCTGTCTAGAAAATAATAAAAAATGAAAAGTTCAGCATTTTAGGGTAGGAAAATTTTGCCATTTGTACGATGTATTTCAAAATATAATTAACCAATAAACGTCCTTTATAAAAAATATAAAATATATATGAAAAATTAAAAAAAAATATATATATATTGAATGGTGCAGAATTTTAGGGTAGGAAAATCTGTTGACATTGAAATATCGTTGTATACCATTCATTATTAAAATTCGATATTTTTCCATGCTGTTAAATTGTATGAAAATGACGTGAAATCACATCTAACAACAAATATTCTCTGTCTAAAAATTAAAAAAAATGACAGATTCAGCATTTAAGGTAGGAAAATCTTGCCATTTGTACCATACATTTGAAAATATAATTAAAAAACACCCTGTTTATAAAAAAATATAAAATACAATACGAAAACATATAGAAATATATTGGAGGTGGAAAATTTTATGATAGAAAAACCTGTTGACATTGAAATATCGTTGTAATGAGTAAAATTTAAAATTTATCTTTTCTAAAAAAAAAATTACATATATGCAAATGGCTCTAAGACCGCTTGTAGCTCGGAAATTTGTGTAAGAAATAGTAATAAAATATATTTACAAGAATAGTTGAGGTTCAGAATTTTAGAGGAGAAAAATCTTTCCATTTGCGGTATACATTTAAAAAAGTGTATATTTTTAACATGCATCCTGTTTGACATTGAAATATCATTGTATTAGTAAAATTTGAAACGTTTCCTTGCAAAAATATTTTTAAATAAATTAAAATGACGACAAGACCGCTGTATTAGTAAAATTTAAAAAAGATATTTAAATGTATGCAAAAATACTTCAAGTCACAATATTATCTTATATTTCTGAAATTGGTTTATGAAATATTAAAAACAATAGTGAAAATAGTGGTTGTTAAGCGTTTTAGAGATTGAAATTCTTGATATTTTAACGTACGTTTAAAAAGAAAATAATTTGTCTGACACAAAACCGACAGGCTACGCGTTTGTCTTAACATTCGTTCGGTTTGTTATTGTTTTATTTTAACAATAAAATAACAAAGTTTTTCCTCGTAAACTTTACAATAAACTGTATGAAAATCAAATGTACAGACACGGATTGTATTCCTATATATGTATGTGGTTCCTGTTTTTCAAGGAATAAAATTCAATCGGATTAAGATATGTCTTAGATATGTAAAAATGATAAGAATCACGCGTTTTGTTAACATAAACAAGCTCAATTGAAATGTCAACGTTTTATCACTTTAATCGGCAAAGTTTTAAATATGTTTTTGCAAACTAATAAAATCGCATAAAGTATAGTCGCACAGTATGGCTTTCACTTCCGTTATCAATATGGGTGACCTCAAAAAAATTAGGGACACTAAAACAAACAAGTGATCCATTAAAATTAAAGTTTTGGAAAGGTAGTTTTGTCTTAAGGTATTTAATAAACTAATATAGGCACTGTTGTTCTCAGACGTTTAAACAGTATATGAATTGTACCATTGTGTAATTTCAATAAGAAAATTTTTATACTTGCAAATGAAAGTGGACAATAAATTATAAAAATCTTATTTTTCCTACTGTATTCATGGCATCAGATCAACTGAGATCTTATTTTTTCCGATTTAAAAAATATTATAGAATAGAGAAGAAATATCACCGTTTAATAATTTTTTAAATTAAAATGTATAAACGTTCCAGATTTTTTTTAAAGTTGAGGAAAATTTAAAAAGAAAATTCTCAGATCAACGGAAGTGGTTACAAATATTCGACTGCGCCCCTGACATCAAGGACAAGACTAATCTTGTCCAATGTATTTGTGTAGATATCAGGACAATTTAATAGGATATTTCTAGCCTATACTGTGTGTAAATGTAATGAACCTGAAAAAAAATTGACATGCAATTCTGACAAAAATTCTTGAAATATAGACGATTATAGTTAATCTAATTTGTCAGTATTTTATTACTGTTCGGACGTATTAATTAACGTTGAAAGGTTATGGAAGTAGAAATCGTCTCTTTGGAAGTAATTTGAGGCATCTCCACATGGATAATTAATCCGCCATATATCTTTCCAAAGAGTGGCCAGTTTTAATGCAAATTTAATTTTATAACGTGGGTCAAATGTAATTGACAACTCATTCGATTTGTGAAAATTAAAAAATATCGACTTTACTATGACAATATCTCGTATTATTTACTGCAACCGTTCGGTAAGCTATAGAGAATAACTATTTTTCTCTTTAGAGATTAAATTTTTTCGGATGGAAAAACATTTTTTGAAGAACGCAATATTAATTTTATTTAGGTTTTATTGGCGCATTACATATTCTCAATTGCTATATCTTGCCTATTTCGATAAACGAATAAAAAACCGTAATTGAACATTTTCGCTCAAACAGATTGGTTATTTTCAGAAGTATGACCTTGTATATCTTGCTTTGCGTGATACAACTCGAGAATAACAATTTTTTTCCCACAGGGTTTGGATACCTTCAGTTCAGGTCTTGTATAGCTAATTCAATTGAGTAAGAAGGTTCTAAAGAGTTTATCAATTTTAAAAATTTTCGTGAATCAATTTGTATTATTGTACTAGAGATAAAAATATACTTCGTATACTTCGATGAGCAAGTCAAATTTGTTATTTGAAATTCGATCTATAGAATTTTCAATATTTAATTTTCTCAAGCTGTCTTGTGTCCATATTTTAAAGCAATTGTTTGATTTTGAACTTTAAAAAATACGTCATGTTATTTTCTTTTATTTGTAAAGCTCAATTTACTGGAAAAAGTAACACTAGATAATAGTACAAATATGGAAAATTTTCATTTGAAATAATTTGTGAACTTCGTACCTCGTTTGCCTATAAAATATGTTGCTTACACCTCCATTTCTGTATCTGGGCTTAACTTGTAGACCTCAATTGTTTTATTTTTAACTTGGCATTGGCTGTTATAGATAAAAAAAAACTTAAAATTCCTAAGACCGTTTTATATAAATATTGCCATAGGAAATGAGATTCTCAATTGTATAAACTTGTACATCTCAATTTGCGTGATTTGTGACTTAGTAAGGGCAATCTTTCAAAGAGTATATATATTTGGAAATAAAATATTTTGCCATATGCACATCAATTGGTCTGATATTCTCAGTCTACTTTGTACAAGACGGACGTACCTCATGGTAGCGTCTTAGGTAAGTTACTATTCTCACTATACATTGCTGATATTATGTTCCATACCGACACCTTTATCGTACCACCCTATTCCGACCCCGTAACAGCTCACTGAACCCTCCATTCCACAACTCAGCACCACAAAATTCCAAAACGAACTTCACCCTCTGTCCTATCACTTTTATGTACCTCCAATGTATTGAGCCTCACCACCTTTATATAAAAAATGTCATAGACTATGATTATTCAGAAATCGTGTGATGCGGTCTGGTGTGACGTAGGTTTCAGAAAAACATTTTCTTTATCGTACCAACGTTTCGATCTTTATTGAGATCATCTTCAGGGCCTGGGATTTACATACATTGATTAAATTTAACAAATACATGTAGGATGTGGAAAAAATTGAATTTATACAATGCAAAAAAATATTTGTTATATTCAATGAAAGTATTTGTACTCACTCAAAGTGTTTGTTTTCTGCGTAAACACCACACACGTCATAGGCTATTTTGGGCAGTATATAGAAACCGACAAATCTGCCCTATAACAACGTAATTATACAACTGAACTGATTACGGCGATTACTTAAAACAGTACAAGCCAATACATTTATGTACACCTCAATTCTGAAACCAATATGGGCATACGGTAAGATATAGGGGTTCAACCAGTGTCAAATCTCCTTAGATCCAGGCACTAAAATGACGATCCCTTAGATCCATTGTTTGTGCACAGTTCTATGTTTCCGACTGCACATTCCATTATGGCCAAAATTCTCTTTATAAACGATGTTGCACAATCCAGCTACAAAAAATTCCTCGTACAACAACTTTCTTCATGATTTCTTCCAAATCATCCTCTATATAAAGATCCCTGAGATTACTCTTCTTTACAAATTAAACTAAAAATATATAAAAAAGTATGAGCACGTTATTTTGGTAATAACTGTTCTATTTGCTGTAATATTTATCTCGATTTGTGTTATAGCTATTTGAGATTCGTAGAATCTGACCACCATTAAGTTCGGATATTTTTAGTCGTAAGACCTTGTGTACCTCGCTGTGCGAGTGAATGTCAATTTGGCCCATAGAGATTAAATATTTTCAGCAAGACCTTGCGTATTCGGATTTGCGTGTTTAAACTCGGGGATAGCAGTTTTGCAGATGGCGTTAAACACAGTACGTCCCTTTTGGAATATCAGATTGAAAATTGTCAACTAAGACAACACATGCATATTTCGATAAGCCTGGCAAAACCGTGAACAATACATGACAGATCGTACATTTTCATTTTTACGATTTTTATTTATGTTTATCATATATAGCGTGATCCATAATGGAGAGGAAAATAATATCAGCCAATTATACCTTTAACATATGGTGTTTAGTGACCGTTTGTTAATGATTATTCGGAGAT